CTTTATTCATTGATTGCAGAAGTCATTAATGGTCGTATGAAGTCTTGTATGGCCTTTGTCAATCAGATTTTAAATGACCCCTCCCATCCTTTGCATCTTGACTTATCTTCTTGTCGATCCCACTCGATCACTCTTCTCGATATCTACCCTCTCGAATAGACATTCATTAGAACTCCCCCGTATCATTCGAATCTGGACCAACAAGTAACGAGTTATAAATGAGTTACGTCAATCTTTATTCGAATGAATCAAACTTCGAAGATATTTTTTACACAGCACTCTATTGGATCTGTCTATATTGCTATTATTTCTCCGGTGTGACGACGCGCGTACAATTTTGCACTGAAATGTAAGCATATTAAGCTTGCAAAGCTACACATACTTGTAGCCTAACAACAACAAGTTCATCTCAAATCCGATTGTTTCTTGATCACGTTGAACATGTGACGATCCCGCACCCGATTAGACCGGGTTTTGCTATCAGCTTAAACATCGGGCACATGGCACGCCTATGTCCGCCGGATTTTTATCCTCGTAGGATGAAACCAACGTGATACGCATCATCCGAGGCTCCACGTTAATACGAGTGCGATCATTTACGATTTGTCGGATAATGCTAAATGAGATTTTATCCATTTTTTTTTTTTGGGGGGGGGGAAGAACAGTGTGTGATGAGAACACGATGCATGAGTTAAATTAAGAACTTAAAAACCCTATCGTAAAATGCACCCGTGGAATCGCACTGTATTCTCCTCATCTGAACGGCTCATTGCCCAAGGCTGTTCTTCATCATTCCAATCTAACTCTTGAATAGAGTTCTTCGAACGAACAGTGTACACGGTAATAGGTAAAACCTTGCACTCTACAGACATTCAATCGCGTGTTTGCATATTTAATACCAGTCCTCATCTGCGCAATTCCAACCACGTCTGTCGTCTGGACACCAGTGTGACCCGATCGCGGTGACTGTTGCACCCAATCACGTATGCACGCGCGCGCGCTCACGTACAACCGTAAATGCAGATAGCAATCGCACGCACAAAGGTTAGCGGATTGATCGATATAACTCCGGTCGGGACACTAGGGTGTGACTCGCCGTTTCGTCAAACAACGAGCCTGCAACTAAAACTCATTTATGATGTGCGTTTTTCTTTGTTTTCAAAGCACTCTACATTCGGTTAGTTTCTTGTCTTGTTATGTTAGTTCTATTCCGAAAATGGATCTATCGATCTGGAGAAATTGGAATGCGCATTAGTTCGAGGAACGAGAACCGGTGCATTTTTCTTGGTAAAGTCATATTTTTGAATCTCAAGTATTTGATGATCATATAGCTATAGCGAACCTCTCTTCGGTACAGACGTGGAGTCAGATTGACCATATAGCTATTAGCTATAGATGGAGAGTATGTGCGAAAGACTGCCATTCGTATTGGTCCACCTGCTTGGACTCCGACCACGC